ACGAAGCTCAAGGAAGAACTTGCCGGCCCGTTGAGGGTGCTTCAAGAGATTGCGAGGCGGATTGCCAAGGTGTCCAAGGAATCTAAGCTTCAGTTGGACGAAGAAGAATACGTACAGTCGTTCAAGGTTGAGCTGATGGACGCGGTACTCCAGTGGTGTCGTGGCGCGAAGTTTGTGGATATATGCAAGGTGTGTTATATGCCACCATTCATATGGTCTGTACTGACTGTTCCTTTCTAGATGACCGACCAATTCGAGGGCAGCTTGATTCGTGTTTTCAGGCGACTTCAAGAGCTTATCCGACAAATGACCCAAGCTGCACACGCAATCGGAAATACCGAGCTCGAAGAAAAGTTTACCAAAGCATCTGAGATGCTTGAACGTCAAAACTCGGTCATTTTCTGCTCGTCGTTGTATTTGTAGATTCGTAGCAACTGTAGGATTTAGGTGCTCCTAGCCGGACGGTCCCCGTGCTTACTCGAGTACTAGGTACACGATCTTAATTTTGCACACATAAAGCACACATCACCCCGCGATCAATGCATTTAAATTATTCAGGACGATTGATTCTTCTGAGCGGCGGCGGCGTCAGATATAGTGTATTTCTGGAGATAGTCCGAGTATATGCATGCGATTTTCGCCCCCCCCCCCCCCATCCACTATCGTGCATGTCTGGTAATTTGGCCGCATGATCGATACATTCATGCTCTTACCCATCAGATACACGAATTCACACGAGCCAGCATAACAGTAAGTTAGGCGAGAAACACCGGGATACCAGCGTAGAGCCAAGGAGCCCATGCTTCGGCGTCAAAAAGCTGGACTAGACTACATCCAACTCAGCATATAATCTAGCTACCTCTCTTCTGTGATGTTATAAGCGCGATTATCTGTTCGACGAACGTTGCTGCAAGGTCAAGAATATCGCGGAATTGCGACTGCGATAGCCAAAAGACGACAATCCGGGGGCGGGGGCAAAAGCTCCTCGGAGCTAGATGCATACACGAAGGTCTATATATATATAAGCACCCCCTATCCGCCAGTTCCGCAATCCGATACCGAGCAGGAACATTCAGAAGCTATCAGTGTTTCCATAGATTGCCAGCCATTGTGAGACGGGTCTAAGCATTGGAGATTGTGTATTGCTCTAAGCATTCCCTCAACAACCCTCGATAGCTCAGTTGGAAGAGCGTGGGACTGTAATTGTAAACTAAACATCCCGAGGTCGCTGGTTCGAACCCGGCTTGAGGGATTTCCTATTTTGGCAGCTACGAGTGCTCGTTTTGCTCTGGAAGAAGTGAGGGAGCGACACAGGCAAGGTTTTGTACGTGGCCATATTTTTCAGCTTATGTTGCTCATAGCTCAGTAGATATGCCAGCTAAAATTATGGAATAAATACCATTAGATAGCCACACATGAGAGCTATCGAACGAGTATACTCAAATTGTATCCGGAAGAGATATCATGGAGATATTAATGAGACTAAGCTATGGGTACCTGGAGGGGTGTTGGTCCCTGCAGCTTGCCTCCGGTCCCCACCAAGCGCTCCACGCCTATGTATGCATGCTTGGCGACTATGTCTCAGTACTGTAGGGCAGTGTAGCTGTGAAAGAGCCTTCGCAACTTAGGTAGTAAATTATCAGTTCCTCTGCTCCGGGTGGGGGGGGGGGGG